ATTTCAAACGGGCCGGATCCGGCCCGCGGGCCGTAGTTTGCCCACGGCTGGACTAGAGAATGTGAATGTGTCAGCATATATTCTTGACTAAATTTTAAGAAAAATATTGAAACATGTTTCTTGTTGGTGATAGCTTAGTAATAATACCTTCACTTGTAAATAACAGTGTCCTGTTCATCTTTGAACTTGAAACTTTGGAAATGACTTGAGGAGAGAGACCATATGCCTATAAAAATGTGCATACAATGTAGGATATGGTCAGTATTGGACTTTAAATCCAGTTTCCATTAACAGTCATGGCCAGTTTAGGCACTGTAGAGTACTCATACACTCAGTGTTCTGAGTAATGAATGAACTGATGACTTGGACAGTTTCTGTAAGTGTTAAGGACAGACATATTAACCCGCATGGAAATACCAGGAAATTACAGAAAGTGCATGGTCCTGTCCTAAACTGTTTTTCTTGTAGAATCTCATTTAATCCTGTATTTGGTGTCATCCTATTTTTTGTTTGTTTTATTTTAAACATAAAGGAATCTGAAATTCCAGAAGATTATATAATTTGCCTAACAGCACTGGAAATTGAATCCAGAATTTATGATGTAATTCAGTAATATTGTTTACTGCTGAAACTTAGAGAGGTAAAAGCTGTCTTTTCTCTCTCATTTAGGAGTACATCTCTTGATGTGGAGCCTATCTATACATTCAGGGCTCATAAGTAAGTATGTGCTTTTCAAAAAATCAACATCACTATAAATCAGCCAGATTAGAATATTTTATTTTCTTTCACTTACGTATTTGTGTTATGTATTTTTGTATTTAGTAGCTTTTTTTGTAATTGTAAACGAAACGGGCAGATAATGTTAAAAATAAGTTTATCACTACCAAATAGGGATCCTTGCTGAAATTATATTTTATTTGCATGATGTTTAAGTACTGTTTATATCTTTCTTAAAAGAAAGTTGAGGCAATTAGGTTGAAATATTAGAAATCCTGACTTTTTTCGCCTTAAAGATAACCTACATAAAAATATTCAAGAATTTGTTACTGTGATCACATATTGCTTTTCCTGTTAAGCTTAAGGAATATCCATGGTCACTTGCTTTGTAACACAGAGATCACAATACTTTTTAAAAATATATATATTTTTATTGATTTCAGAGAGGAAGGGGGAGGGAAAGACAGAAACATCAATAATCAGAGAGAATTGTTGATCAGTTGCCTCCTGAACATCCCCCACTGGGATCATGCCTGCAACTTGGGCATGTGCTCTTAACTGGAATCAAACCCAGGACCCTTCAGTCTGCAGGCAGACGCTCTATCCACTGAGCCAAACTGGCTAGGGCCACAATTTTTTTTATGTAAAGGTTTATATAGTAAATATTTGTAGGCTTTGCAAGCCACACACACACACACACATTTTAGTTTAGTTTGGACCTATAACCCTTTTAAAAATGTAAGCTGCATTCTTAGTTTGAGGATTGTTCAAAAGCAGACCATTGGCTGGTTTGGGCCCATAGGCCATAGTCTACCAACTTTTGGTTTAGTAGAGGAAGAAAAATGAACAATGCTTTGATAGTATCATTCATTGTACAAAGCTAAAAAATAGAAAGCCATTTGAATAATTAAGTATTCTTAATTTTAGTAAGTCTTATGATCAGATTCTTTTTGAGACTAGAAATTGATTGTTATCTCCCAGAGGTCCAGTGCTCTGTGTGGTGATGAGCAGCAACGGTGAGCAGTGTTACAGTGGTGGTACCGATGGACTGATCCAGGGCTGGAACACGACCAACCCCAACATCGACCCCTATGACTCCTATGGTATGTGAGTCTCCAAAGATATGAAAGAATAAAATGTTTTCTTTTTATACATTTTACATAGCATTAAAGGAGAAAATGAGATATTTTAAAAAATAAATTGATAAAAGAGAACTATACCTTTATTTTGTTCAAAAGAACTCCTCCTATATTTAAGAACCAATTTGATATATAATGTAAAAGAAAAAATGTATTCTTCCTGAGAAAACAGTTCCCAACACCCAAAGTCTTATTGATGGGAGCTGCTGGCTTGATTGACAGTTGTTTTCCTCATTTTAGGCATCTGAGCAGTACTTGATACATTATTACTAATCTGTAATCATATTTCATCACTATCCTAATAAACAACTTTGAAGGAAAATGCATGTTGGCATCATCTTCTTGATCAATTATTGGACGGCATAGAGGCTAATGACTTTTCAAGTCCATGGCACCAAAATATTTGAAAGGTCTTATAAATTCAGAAGCTCCAGGAGACACAAATCCTTATTATAATCTGTCACTAGCTATTACATAAAATTCCTTGTAAAAACTGGTTTAGGAATTGACTGTTTGGTGTTTTCTTAAATTCTAGAATGGTACAAAGTGTCATATTTACCATTAAACCATATTTTATTTTCATTATCACTTTAGATTAATTTTATCACCAAACCAAAGTAAAGATAAGAAATTCAATAAATAAAAAAATTTTCCAACATTTTTTTAATAAGCATTTAACATATATTTTTGTGAGAGGTGAACCTCCTCTCTCTTCCCAGTTCTCTTGCTCATTTATGTGTTTTATGCTTTTCCTTACTTCTTTATCTAACAGAGGATCAATCAGTTGTCCTCATTCTGTCCCAAGCCAACCCTTCTGCTTTTGCTCTTGACCCCATTGTCTCTTGTTTCCTTTGAGGCTGCGTGGTACCCTCCCCAACTCTCCACCCCAGGTCTCTCTGGCTCTCGTCTTTAATCTCTTTGTTCTCTTCTCATCCCCTGAGCATATAAATAAATTAAGGTATCCCCCCATCCTGAGCAAGGGGAAGCCTTTTCTGGCTTTATTTCCCTCCCTGGCTTCTGTTTAGACTCTCTTTCCTTCACCATCTCTGTCTCCTTGATGTTGGAAAACACCGTCACTAGTTAATAATTCCATGTCCTTTCCCTGGGCACCACCTCCCTTTGTATTTCTGGTCACACCACTGAAGTATAACAAGATTTTCAGTCCTGATCCAAAGGGTATTTTACAGTCCTTGTTTTACTAGATGTATTGGCTCTCTGAAACTGTGGACCATTCCATCCTCTTTTAAATTTGTCCACTATTGGCTTTTTTTTTTTTTTTTTTTACTATTGGCATTTTTGACATGTAACTCTGTGACAATTCCTCCTCCCTATCCTTCATAAACTCTTTTTCTTTTTCTTATCTTAAATATTGGCATTTATCAAGGTCTAGGCCCTAACTCGTTCTTTGCATTGTTCACATATTCTTTTTCAGATTGAATCAACTGCCACAATTTTATATGCTGTTGGCTCATAAGTCTCCTCTTTAAGCTTCAGACTGCCTTTAGAAGATGTTAAAGTGGCTGTCTCATTGTCCATAAATCCTCTCAAGTGCTGTATTTCTTCTCCCATATATTATTTATTAGTTGGTGGCTCTACAGAATTACCCAAATTAGAAACCTACAGATTATCCTTGATTCCTGTTTTACTATCCACACCTTACTTATTACTTAGTCTTTTTGATGTCATTCCTACATATTTTTTAAAATTTACTCCTGCTCTGTCCTTTTTGCCACTGCCCTGGCTTGGGTCTTCATCATCACTCTGTCTAATGAAACAGTCCCCTTGCCTTCATCTTGATTTTGTTTAGTCTGTTTTCTTTACAGTTACCTTATTGAGTAGGCACTTTACCCTGCTGTCCCTGGGAAACCCTTCCCTACTGCTTTTAGGATAATTAAGTACCTTAATATGTCATAGAAGTCTCACTATAAACTAGCCACTCTTCATCTCATCTACTTCCTGCCTCAAACTTCATACTCCAGTAATTCTTAGTTGCTTATCTCCTCACATATCACACTATTGTTCCTTCTGTAATTTTGTAGGTGCTGCCTCTTTTACCAGGAACGATTCTTCTGTTTGCCTGCCGACATCTGTACACTCTAGGTGTCATTCTCCCTAAGAAGCTTTCGCTCATCCCAGTTACTGTCCATGTAACTGGTTTCTGTCACTATTACTGTACTTGTCACACTGTCTTGAGGACAAGGATGATATTGTGTCTTAATCATCTGTGTGGCCTGGCATATAGCATAGTGCCTAACACCAGTATGTCTTTAATAAGTACTTTAGGGTATAACTGAGAGAGGATATGGGACAGATAACAACAGTAACATTTTAAACTTAACCTCTGTGAGCCATCTTGAAGGTGAGGATTAATAGTTTGAAATTTGACTTTCATCATGAAATAGTGCTAAGTGACCCTCTCCCTGCCTCCCCCCTCTCCCTGGCTCCTCCCTCCCTCTCCCCCCTGCACATCATTCATGTCAGTTACTGCTGTTTGAGAATTTGGGGGTTTCTGTAGATCTCAGTTCATGTCCTTTATGTCAGAGGCCCGTTGCTCCCAGGAATAACTGCTGTTTGTGGTACTGTGGGAGAAGTGGCCTGAAGGAGTGTATCCATAGTGCTCAAGGAGGTGGAGGAGGGAGGGATCTCTCTTCATGTTCTCAGGGAATGTGAGTGTGTTTTCTCTGAAGTAGTTAAATTCAGATGATTTATTTGTGTTAACATGCTCTTTAAACTATCTAGACAAATGGAAGAAAAAAGGGAGGGAGAATGAAATGCCTAATTTTTAAAAATAGAAAAATGTGTACTTTGTAATTTTAATTTCTAAATTTTAAACCCTACATTTGCATATTTCCAAGCCTATTTTTAATTACAGCATTTCAGAAAAAATTATAGACAGTAGGAAGCATATTTTATACTGTTATCATGTCCTTTTGTTTTCTCTGGACTCTAAGTACCTTTGTAAGTTGTCTTTCTCCTGACTTTGCCTTCTTGCTGTTCTCTGTAGACCCTTCTGTTCTAAGGGGCCCTCTGCTCGGCCACACCGACGCCGTCTGGGGTCTGGCTTACAGTGCAGCTCACCAGCGTTTGCTGTCCTGCTCAGCAGATGGCACTCTTCGTCTATGGAACACAACGGAGGTTGCTCCAGCCTTAAGTGTGTTTAATGATAATCAAGGTACATACTTTTAAAATTATTTCACTGAATCTTTTATAAAATTCTAAATTATCTATGTCTTATTATAAAAACAAACATGCAAATAAATAAATGATTCCATAAACTCTTACTGTTTAAATTTAATTTGAAGGGTTTTTGAAGTTGTAAAAATATATATATTTGAATTTTCAACTTACTAATATTATGTATAAGTTTTAAAAACATAGTATTTGGTGAAAGAACACATCTAAAAAATTTTTAGTTGAGATATAATCTGGTTTTTACTGTATATAAATTATAAGAATACATTTTAATGAGTTTGACAAATGCATAACTCTTGCATCAAGATATAGAACATTTCCTTTACCTCCATAAACTTTTTTTATGATCTTCCCAGTCCATCCCCTCTCCCCATTCCCACCCACAGGTACCCACTGTTGTGATTTCTTTCATCATAGATTAGTTTTGTCTATTCTAAAACTTCATATAAATGAAATCATAAAATGTGTACTCTTTTTTGTGTCTGGCCTTTTACTCTCACTATAATATTTTTGTGATTCATCCATGTTGTAGTAAGTATCAATAATTTATTTATATTGTTTAGTAGTATTTTATTAAACCACAGTGTGTTTATTCATTTACTTCTTAATGGACATTTGGATTGTTTTCAGTTTTTGACTGTTTTGAACAAGCTGCTGTGAACATGCATATGTTTTTATTATAGGTGGGTAAAGACTTGGAGTAGAATTGTGTGTTTGACCTTATGTGAAATTGCCAGACTTTTTCCCAGAGTGGTTATGCCATGTTACACCACTGACAGCAATGTATGAGAATTCCAGTTGTTCTACATCCTTAGTTACTAACATTTGGTGTTGTCAGTCTATTTAATTTTAGCCATTCTGTTGTATAGCAGTATTTCATTGTGATTTAATTTGCATTTCTTTGGTGGCTAATTCTTTTGAGCACTTTATTTGTGTGCTTATTGGCCATTAATATATCTTCTGTAATATACACATTTTTAAACTGTTTGCTTTAGATTTTGAACCAAATGGAAAAATCAGGTTATAGTCATGTATATATATTCTATTTTTTATGTTTATAAATAAGCTTCAAGTTTTAACCAAGTTTTACCTATTATAGATGATAAATAAAAATACCTTCTTTATTCTTGAGCTGTGATAATGTGTGTCTAGGTTTTGATGAGTTGCCTTCATTTAATATTTGCGTGATTACCAATAACAATTTGGAGCTTTACTTCTTAAATTCCATGTTTTTGATAAGTTAGAATTCCTACTAAGAGATGGGCTTTTAAAATGAAGAATTTTCAATGATGCCGCTCTAAGCTTCAGGTTGAGGTAGAAGCAGCAAAACTTGTAGTCCATACATGTTTTTCATTTATTTTTTGAATAAAGGCTTGCATTCCATTTATGTATTAGGTGAGTAATAGGTAGAAGATGTGCTGAACAGGTAAGAGTAACGAAACAGGCTAGGGCTAAAAGAAAAAAAAAAGAAATAATCTCCATTGAATGGCAGTGAGCAAATTCTTATCCTAATGTCGAGCCTTATTTTTCCTCAAGGAAATCATGCTATTATTTGTTTTGCTATATTTTAAGCACATTGTTAAGAAGACCCTCTAATTAGCATTCTCTATGAATATGTTCTGACTTTTTTAGAATTTGGAATCCCTGCCTCTGTGGATCTAGTAAGCAGTGACCCGAGCCTTATGGTAGCATCATTCAGCAAAGGATATACAAGCATCTTTAACATGGAAACACAACAACGGATTCTCACTTTAGAATCCAATCTAGATACGAGTATGTATAATAGTCTTTAAGTAGTCTTCATCACAGTGAAAGAGTTGACTCTGAAAAATGCTTATCATTCTAAAGTCTTCAGCCTGCTAAATCACAGAACATAGTTGCTTAATTAGAAGGATATAATGACTTACAATTGATTTTAAGTCTTTGGGTTAAGGTTATGCACATTTATAACTATACTATTTGAAATAGCATTTGACCTATTTATTCCAAAGAGGAGTCAAGTTGATTTTATGCCAAATGATTAGTTTTCAATTTTGTTTGAAGAAAATATTTATTTGGAATATAAAATATTTTTCATTTCTCATAGTATTTTTTCAACCAACTTAACTTTATATTAATGATATAATTTGACACTGCTCCTTACTGATTAGAATATAGATTAAGTTGTGCCTCTCAAAATCCCAAATCTGAAGCTTCTTATTGGATACAGGAAGCCAGGAGATAATTTCTCTGGTTGTGAAGAATATATTACAGAATTATTTTGTTTGGGGCTTTTTAAACCATTGCTTTCTATCTTTATTCTTAATCCAGACAATCACAGTTCAGGCTGCAGTTGCTAAACATAGGTAGCAGGTAGTACCTCTAGATTTATCAGAATAGTATTGCTCTGGCAGCTCTCATTTCCTAACATTAAAATTATGAACACAATTTCAGAATAAACTAACTAAAACACTAAAGTGACATCATTTACTTTTTCAGTCTCTTAGGAGAGTATTCAGTTCTCTTGTGTGTGAAGAAATAGTAGCTTTGACTAATTTGTGTTGTTTTTAATTTTTTCTTTTTAGCAGCCAACTCTTCCTGCCAAATAAATAGAGTCATTAGTCACCCCACTCTTCCCATCAGCATCACTGCTCATGAAGACAGGCACATCAAATTCTATGATAACAATACAGGTAAGAATGTATTAAAAATTGATTATATATTAAAGCAAAAAAGAAAGTCTTCACTCTGTGTAGGCTGATTTTGGTATCTGTCCATGACTTTATCATCAGGGAATAGGCACTGAAATATGGGTACTCTCCCAGCTCAATTCCTGATCATTTCATTTAGATCTGTTGAGAACTACTTATTGTGATAGCAAATAGAATTATCTTAGTTTATTTAATATTAAGTACATGCTATATTTTTGCCCTGGAGTCAAGGTTATCAGTAGGAGCATAATGAAAATTTTATTCAAATACCAATAAAAATGATCTCTTACTGTGAATATACTGAGAGAAAGTATAAGTAGAGGCATCTATGATCACTATATTTTGTTTGAAATTATTCGTTTTTGAATAGCCTTAGTGTTCAGATGGAAAATCCCTCAGTCATTGGTTATATTTTATTCGTTTTCACATGGACTAATCTTTTCTGCATTATAATACTGACTATTTGGTCCTCATTGATTTGAATTGGGCCTTTTCCATTTTTTATTGAATTACATTTCACTAGTCTAAAGGAAATTCATGAAGAGTTCTGCTGGGAGAAAACACTGTGTTATCAGCCATATTTACCTGAGTGTCCGCTATTGGGTTTGTAAATACGTTGACTTTTGTTGACTTTGCTTAGCCGTGAGTGATGAGTAATTTAATGTTCTCAAACTCTAGAATATATTGTCTCCACCAAAATTATGGCCAGTTTTCTCTCTGTTCCTTTATCTTTGTATCAGTCTCTTCTTCTGTTCCCACAATCCATAGAATTTGCTTGTAGCTAAAGGATGCAAAGTAGGTGGTTAATGTCTGAATTCTAGTAGATGCACATGGCTTAAAGGGATATCTGTTTACAGATTACTGACTTTTATATTGTGATTTGAAAGACAAAAATATAATCTGGAATTTGAGCTTTTGTTTCTCATCAGTAGCATGGCCAGAGTAGGGAGGGCGATCTGTTCTAAGTGATGAAAAAAAGCTATTGATGCAGTAAGTACACAGAGATGGGTGACTGAAGAAACCAGTATAACGTAGTAACTGGCATATATTCATGGAAAGCTATTAATAAAGAATAACAATCTCTTTTTCCAAAGGCAAACTCATCCACTCAATGGTAGCCCACCTAGAAGCCGTTACAAGTTTAGCGGTTGATCCTAATGGCCTGTACTTGATGTCTGGCAGTAAGTACATCAGCTACGGATAATTTGTTTATTCTTATCATTTTCATGTTAATGTAGTTTTTTTAAAATTAATCAATTAATTAATTAATTTTTTTTATAGGTCATGACTGTTCAATACGTTTATGGAACCTAGAAAGTAAGACATGTATCCAAGAGTTTACAGCTCATCGGAAAAAGTTTGAAGAATCAATTCATGATGTAGCTTTCCACCCATCCAAATGCTATATAGCCAGTGCTGGGGCTGACGCACTGGCTAAAGTCTTTGTATGATAGAATGCATCTTCTTCACCTTCTATCTCTTTATAAATAACCAACTGCACAAAAGAGATACAGAAGACCAGGGAAAGAATCAACGCATTCTGCCCTTTTGTTCTGCTGAAGGAGCACAGAGAACATTTGTAAAGTATAGTTTTACAATTCGTATATACTGTTTTCTAAAACTAAGGTTTGTTCAGGTTGCTGCAAGCTCAGCTGAATCTGGAGCCTGAAAACTGTTTGTTTCAGATTTTCCCCAAAATAGGAACTTTTATTTCTGGAGTAGTTCTAATTCGCTAGGCAGGCCTGAGCGAACATAGGTTTAGCTTGTCCCCTGTTGAATAAATAGGGCACGTTATAAAGGATAACAAAAAGCTCCATGGCTGGGAATGAGTAGAGGAAGAGCAGAAATTTAGACCTAGTTCTCCCCTGAGAAGTCTTGTTAAACACATTAGGTAGTCAAAACAGTAATCTATACCATATCTGCTGTACTAATCCCTATGAGCATAATGACCAGGCAGTGTTAAAATGAGTTTTTAATCTAGCTCTCCTTTCAGCTGTTCACATACAGCACCTGGCAAAGCATTTTACCTATTAGGGGGGAAAAAAGAAATGCAATAATATGTCAAATATATTATTATTCAGAAATGCTAAACAGATATTCAGTTTGTAAGCACATTTCTGTATTGTATTACATTTTTGAAAGTGGATTTGGTACCATTCTAAAATTTAGTTGTCAAAAATACTTAACCATTGTGAAGAGTAGTTGATAGAGTCTGCTTTTACTAAAGGATTTAACTTAATTCTGTTTATTTTTAAGGGCAAGCAGGGCATATAATAATTTCTATTAATTTTAAAACTCACTTTATTCACATGGTATTTATAGTATCAGAGTGATTATTTCATATAGATAAAATCTTAACTTTTCAGTGGTTGAAAAGATGGTGGTTATTTGCAAGTACTCATTTATCAAAACCCACATAACCACACTTCAAATGATCTCTGCTCTTTCTTCTTTGTCTCTCATATTCAAATTATCTGACACTGAAAAAATACTTCATAATTATGTTTTAACAGTCCAAAGGGTATGGTTAATCTCAGCTGCTTTTGCAGACATACTAAATAAAGCAAATGTTTTTTACCTCAGAAGTCCTCCATTAGCATCTCCAATAAGAACCTCTTGAAAATCTGGATGGAAGGGTTCAGTGTATAATGTTGGGTAAATAGTTCTCTCTCTCTTTTCCTCTCCCTACCCTTCCTCCATTGTTTAATTTAAAACACAACATGTTTAATGGCCAGTAAATCAATATTGTTTCTGGGGGAAACCATATATTAAAGGACCAGGGGTCCCTGAGCTCCTTGCCTTTGACCAACATGTGGTCAGCTCTTGGGAGTCCCATGACCCACTCTCTGAACCTGGTATTCAGACCTCATCCCTGCAACTCTTGCCTCTCCTCACACACTCTTGTTCATTCAGAATGTCAGAGACCAAGCTAGAAATTAGAAATAAATTACTAATGTCCACCTTTTCAGTAAAATGTATATGTCGTAGGCTCTCAGACTTTACAAAATCCATATCCATAAATATCTTAACCTTTTATACAATTCCTACATTCCTGTCCCCACATATTCCATTGTCATAACATTTGCACTTCTAATGATATTTCTCCTTGAAGAAGTATCCTGGTGTTAATGTGGATAACTAACTGTTATTTCTTTAAAATTACTGCTTGTCTGCTTCTAGAAATCTGCAATATACAGGCAAATTTTCTTTAAAGTTAAGGGCCTGTGCTAAATGCTTGGTTGATATACAATATGCTTTAATATTTTGACACAGCTACCTTGTCATTTCATCTGAGCTTTGGTTAACAGTGGGCTCAAGGAACTCTTGTATAATCAAATGAATTGACCTGAACATGAGCTACCCCATCATAGCTGAGCTATATACCAGGTGAATGTTTATATTCCCTTCCCACGCAGATACGGAATTTCACATTGTGTTTGTGGAATTCCTCTTTTGGTTCTTCACGAAGTAAAGTAATTCTGTTGCTAACCTGACATTTGTAGAAAGATACTGGAAAATTCTAGCCAGATGCCCACTCTTTTTGTATTTATGATGGACAACTACAAAGCTATTGTTCTGCCAGTTATTGCTTTAATTACCTTCCATGGTCTTCGGTACCTTCTTTACTTATGCCACTGAAATTCTCAAAACCAAGACTTTTCTCTTCACCTGCATTTTATAACTCACAGCTGAATTTTTTCTGATAGTGAGTGGAAAATAACCACGAGATAATGTAAACAGTAGTGTAAGTGATGGAGCTGTTGAAAGTTCCTTAGGAAGCCAATGCTGTGCCACTGGAGAGTGTACACAGAAACAGATTCCTCTCTACTAGCGCTGTGTGATGTCAGCCTAGAATTGAGTCAAAGTGTCTTCCAGCCAGATAGAAGCATATTCATGTGTCTGATTTTCCCCTCAGCCCATCAGAAAGGTGAACAAAATGAAAAAAATCAAATTCAAACAGTCATTGACATGCTTTCATAGGGCTTAGTTTGTAAATATTTTGGATGAAATGTATTGGAATAGTATGAAAATCATCAGAAGATGTGGGTTCCTGCCTTATTTTCCTATGCTGTGGGTACATCTGTGGGAGCTTGCAGCACCCTTCTCTAAACTCAGCTGTCATTTGGAGCTCATTTGCTACTCAAACCATAGATAGATATTTAACATGAGTGATATAATGACCTTCAGTATTTTTCTATTGAACAAGTTTATCAATTTTTGCCATTAAACAGATAATTAGTTATGCAAAGTATTTAGCTTTTATAATCATTTTAGTTATGACTAAAGGGGGAGAAATTGAGCTGCATCGTTGATAATGAACTTTGTGAGAAATTTTGTTTATTTGACTTTCATTCCTTCAGTATTCTTGCTACACATTTTTTGGAGATGATTTATTTGAAAATGTCTAAAATGTATGTATATTTTATAAATATAT